TTGTAGACATTTATATGATATTTATTGTACTATACCAGAAGATAACTTTTTTGATCCCTCTATAGTTAAAAGACGTCACAGATATTTCTATTTAATATTTTTTGTACTGAACTAGAAAGTAACTATTTGATCCATCTCTAGATGAAAGGTGCCAACTTCTTATTGCACAAGTTTCTTATTCATGTTTTATCTATTTTACCAGATATCCTTTTATGTCATATAAATTCTTGAATAGAAAATTGTTAAAGGTAAAAATATGTTCTAAACTTAGTCTACGAACATTTGACCTTTAAATCACTTTTTGATAAAACTTATGCATGCACATAAACTGGCCACACATAATTTACAAGGAAGATTGGGGAGTAAAACATATTATGGAAGACGGGACATATGGGTAAAAAACTATAGTTTAAAAAGCATTTCCTCAAATATTACATCTATTCTATGTATAAAACTGGACAACGAACAGACATCAGAATTATTTTGCACTTGATAACATTGAAATAGTAATATTACAGAATTTACTTATACAAAACAAATCACATTTCTTTACATAGTTTTTGACACTAAAATTGTTTAATGCAACAGATACTACAATCGAGAAAATATAACAATACTGTTATAAAATTCAATACTTCAAACAATTTTCTAAAACTTTTCAGGGATGTTTAATAAGTGTTGTGCAGTATCCCTTTATTTATTTCAAATTAATAAATTAGTATACATTTCTGCTGCATATTATAAAATCCTGATTACATTGAATGAAAATTAGGGAGGAAAAAAAAATTTCTAAATTTAAACTAATTAAAAGAGCTACTCTAAACCCTAATTTATATAAAAGGTAAAAACATTAAACAAATCAAATTCAAGAAAAATTAAAGAAACATTTAAACTCTCTTTTTTATTTAACCAAAGGATAATTAAAACCTAAATAACAATAACATTATTTGTATTAATAGTAAGTTAGTGATGACTTTTAACATTAATTTACTAGTAACATTTTTTGATAAATTAAAACTAACATTTTAAATGCTAACTTTACAGGAATCATAAAATGTATAACATGACAGTTTTCAAACCAAATCTTATAAGAATCATAAAATGAGGCAGCTGAAAACATCTAAACAAAATTTTCTTAAAAAATATTAATTTACTTTTGACTTGAAAGTAAATAATAGTATTCTCCAAATAAAAATACTTACATGTCATAAGCAGTAATATAAATTTTCATTAAAAAAAGTTAATATTAAAGTTATAAGATTTATTAATAAATAATTTTACATAATATAATAAATAAAATAGTAAAAAAAAAAAAANAAAAAAAAAAAAAAAAAAAAAAATAAAAAAAACAGAAATCATATTTTTGACTAAAATATTTTTGTTTAATAAAAACAAATAATCAAGATTTTATAGTTTCCAAGCAGAAATTAATTACAGTTCTTAACAGTTATTAATTCAATTATCATTCTGATTAAAAAAAACATAGAAGTTAAAATTTAACATTGCATAATAATTCAAAGAAAAACTTTTTAAAACACACTTAGATTTACATTTTAGCTTTTTTTTTTGTGAGAAGTACACAAAAGCTCTAAAAATATATTTCAAAATATACAATGTTTATACTTGTAAAAAAGATACAAAAATTTTGTCGGTTCAGGTACTACAAGTATTTTTTTTTCCTTATGCTACTTAGAGTGTTTGATAAAAGCCAGAGGTAAAACACAAGCTTTTTTAAAGTAGATGATGATTTATATTTTGATTTGAATGATTGACAGTACATTTGATATGAAGTTCAAATAGAAAAACAAAATCGATATAAGATCATTAAAATACAGACCTTGCAAACGCCATAAAGAGGCATTTAAATTAACTTTATCAACTATTTTATAAACAACTTCAAGTTATTTATTACATTTACTGCTTCATTTAAAATCTTACTTCAAATATTTTTTAATTAACAAATATAGTAACTGATGTTATAGTAACTTTAGGAATAATTTATAACTAAGGTGAATTTATGGTATTGTTAAATTGTAGAACTCTAGATTCACAATTTCTTTTACAGAACACGATAAAATTAGTCTAAAATTTTCATAACTCATTAATTTTTGCTGTAGAATAATTTGGGGCCTAAAAAAAAGTTATGTCTTACTTTGTTCAAAAACAAAAAATTAAAAACAGATTTGAAAATTAGCCATTTATTTAATGTGAAATCACAATTTTTACTTTCAAACAGAAATTTTTAGCATGACAAATAACTTGTAGTATTACAAACTTGGAAATAATTTGTTAAAATGCTTTGATAAGTCATATTTCATTATACAGATAAGCTTTAACTCAAAGAATGATAACATTACCATAAGTATTTTTTTATTATTATTATTATTATTATTTTTGAGGTCTTGACACTTTTATTTATGATTTCACATTAAATAAATTTTTATACCCTTTAATTTTTTTTTAATGATTTATTCATAGCTGAAAAATAAACAAAAATAAATAAAATAAAAATTTACTCTAACCAAGGTGGTAGCCATTTCTTATATCTCTTTACAATAAAGGATATGTATATCAGTGTATATATCCTTTATTGTGAAGGTGTGCTTCATTGTAAAAGGGATAACTACAGGGGGAACATCAATACTGCCCTGCACTGCATTGGAAATTAAAGGATATGTATGTAGACATATGAATTGAAATTTATTTGATTTATTTCAAACTTACCAAGTTTTGGATGAGAAGCTTTGTGTCATCTATACTGTTGAATTTTGTATAAAAGAATTGTTTATCACTTACGATATCTAAGGGAAAGCTAAAACTTGTAACTTGGAAGATAAAACTAGTGTGATTAATGATGCAGATAAAAAAAACAACAATGAAGAAGAAACAGATAGCATTTAGGTAAAGAACTCTCTGTTGAAACAATCCAATTAATGATGTAGATAGAAATCCAATCATGAAGAAGAAATAGATAGCATTTAATTATTGAATCCCCCCAAATATATATTGGTCATATTGAAAAAAATTTTAAAAAAAAGTATTTTTAAAGGAAGGGATATGTGTTTCTGAACCTACTGTCAAAAGGACAATTATTATTTGTTAGTCAAAAACAGTAAAAAAATTTTTTGCTGGTTTTATTAGATTCAAGTTTATTTCCAATTAGCAACAGAACTTTAAAATGTGGTAAAGTAAACTCTCTCAAATTATTCTTCCTTTATTTGTTCGACAGTACGGGGCATGCCCCAGCCTTCTCACTAAGCTTTTTCCAGGCTAGTTAATTTCAAACTTTACAGCTGACATGAAATAGGGAAATAAATAATTATTTTACACAAATAGTCTATAAATTGTGCATAATGTGGAATCTGATTTTTCTGTATTTAAAATAGAAAGTGTGAATCTAGAATGTGCTTACATTAAATTTTATTGAAACTACAGCATTAACTTTGTATTAAAGTTAGAAATTCTGTAAAGAAATTGTTATTAAATTTCGTAAAGAAAAATATTTAAATATTAGTTCAAGGCAACAAAAACAACTGTTAACAATATAACATTAAAACATGTAAAACAATTTTTAATTTTTTTTTAATGTACTATTAAGTAAAGGATAAATTTACATTAATTATAATGTTGGTATTTTGGCAATATTTCTCTCAAGAAGAACTTTAGTAATCTAAAATTTAAAACAGCTAGGTATGCAGTTTAACATTCACTAAGAACAAGAACAACTTTGAGAAACATATAAATTGGAACATGCATGAAGTTCCTACTAATCAGTAATATTTCTTTCTTTTTTTATCACAGGAAGAATAAAAATATTTAAAACATCACAAAGACACATAATAGAAATCAAACTATCGATTAATTTTTAAAAAGAAATTGCAAACAATCTTTAATTCATTTCCCTTATGCTCCGTATTTTGTTACAAAAAAAAAATTGAAAAACAAATTAGCATTTATTGAAATTTACTTGAATAATTTTTATTACTAAAAGAGTTTCTCAAAAATGTTAATTTTAATTGTTAATTTACAATTAAAAACTATTTATGAATAGATAAAAAGTTATTTAAAAAAAAAAATTTTTCACCACAAACTTCGAAAAAAATGATTCACATATTATGCTTTTNGTTATTTTTTTTTTTTTTTTTTTTACAAAAACAAACACACTAATAAATAAAATAATATTTTTAAGAATTAATGAATGAGTAACAGTACTTAACAGAATATTTAAAATTAACAAGGACATTTTTAAACTTATTCTTCAGCAACACTTAAGTATTCATGAATTGATCACAAAAAAAGAAAACTTTAAAATTAAAATTTCGCTTGAAAAGCAAGAATATTGCACAGCTGTCTACATTTCAAGATGAAAATGTGAACAGATTTATGAGCTATTTTAAAATGCTTTCATGCATATTATGTTTTAAAAAAATAGTAATGCCAAATAGAGAAAAAGATAGGCAGATTCAATTTATTATTGATGAACTCAATATTATAAATATCAAAACCTGTCTGATTGCTACGGAAACCTGAGAGAAGTTTAACGATATAATTGGATATAAATTAAAAGATAATCAGACAAATGGAATTGGAAAGATATATATAAAAGATAATCAGAAACACCTTCAGATTTCTTCTGGCAAACATATTAATTTTGATAGTTTCAACTCTAGCAATCATTTCTTAAATTTTGATAATATTTTCCTATATTACACAATTAATAAATCCATCCTGATCATAAATTCAAATTTAAGTGCTTAGTTTTCTCATCTAACAATTGAATTTTGTATTTTCTCTTTTATCCAAAGATTTTCATTACAAAATTAAAAATAAAATAAATAAAAAAAATTTCATTTTCAGTCAGGCTAAACAAAGTTAGGTTAAGTCTAAGTTTCTAAAGAAAAGTTAAACAAATATTTAGCATTAAGTATTACTTATAAGTTGTTAAAAATAATACAATTATATCTACAAAAATGAGATAATTAAGATTCTCTATATTTTTATTTGAAATCATGGCACAAAAAATTTATTAACATATAACTTCTGTCTTACTCATTTTTACTCATAAGAATATGACTTATCCAAAATCTAGTCCGGTTTATCCTATAGACTTTACATAGTTATGGAATTTTCAATATTAGTAGCCTGTTGCTTGTTTGTTACAGAAAAAAAGATAAGGTCAAAGAGCAATCAATTCACAATTACTTTTATTTAATTTCTGAAGTCTTTGCATGCAAAACAGATTCATAACTAAATGTTTACATTTTTGATTTCTATTAATAAATAAAACGCAAAAATATATATTTAAAAAAACTCAACAATGAAATAACTTTGTAAAAATGTGAAAACATACACAAGAACATTTAACTGATAACAACTCTGCTCACTTGACATATTTAGAATTCCACATAGGGATTAAAATGACATTAAAATTTCAACTTGGAATTTGACTTTTATTAAGAATTGAAAAACTTAAAAAGCTATTAGTAGAACCTGTCCATAAAACGATTAAAATTGTGCGTTCTACTTTTGGCATCGGCCATAACAACATCCAACAACATTTTAAACTTTGGCGATGCACATAAGACTGGCAAACAGTTCTCATATAATATGCATACCATAATATGGTAGATTGTACACTTTTAAATCAGAATTACATACAACCAAGACTAATAGCACCCAAACCATTCCAGACATGGAACTGGGTGTATGAAAAATTAACTTGGTAGAGGGTTTTCTTTGTCATCAGCAGTTCCTGCATTTTCTAGAAAGAAAAAAACAATGGTGGGAATTAATGAATATATTAAAATTTTATTATAATTTAAATTTGCTTCACTTAGAAAATTGTTTTCCTGATTAATCGGTCAAATGTGAAGAAAGTTCCACCCTCACTCCCATATATTAAGAACACATGATACACATCTTAAGACAAATGATTAAAGCAAAACAAAAATAATAATAATAATAATAGTACAGTATAAATACTTATTGTTTATTTATAAACTAAATTATTACAGGATAGATTCAAAGTATAGAGTTTTTTAAGTTTTAGTTTTACACATACATGGAAAAATAAGAGAAAGTTGGTATCAGATGATGGCTTTATCATTTCAACCACCTCCTAAGATGTGTTTTATTTAGAACAAGTTACAACAATTTTCATTTTTTTTACCTGGCCGAATTGTCACGAGTTGGACAGATGGGAATCTTCTGTATTTTTTAATTGATAAAATTTTCAATAGGCTACCAGGAGCTTTAATATTGGGTCTTGAAGTTCTATACAATAATTTTGTTCAAAATATCTGAAGATTTTTGGAAGTAGAAAAAATAATGCATATATCATAAAAATTTCTTTTTGTATTGTAATTAAAAGATAATTACAACAACTTTCATTCTGCTCAATTAATATTTTACAATCATCTATACAGTCAACATTCTATAAGTACAACCAGTCACTATAGCAACCATACCATTATAACAACCAATAAAGTGCCGGTTTGCTATTCCATTGACGGAATGTTAATTTAACACCTATTAGCCAGCCAGAGAGAGTGACTGAGGCAGTCACTTTAAGCCCAACGCATGGAAAGTCCAATTGACTGTAATCAAAATTTCGGAGATTCATTTTTCAGTAATTTATATTATTTTAGAAAAGAACTTTTTTAAGTTTTTTTCAGGTTTAAATAAATTTCTTTAATTTATGAGTTAAATATGACTGTAAAATTTCAGGATTTCATCTATAACACTAGAAGGATCCGCAATCAGTGATATCCAATGCAGAATTCTATCTTTTTTTTTTAAATATTATGTTTGGTATTAAAAATTTAAAAACGTTGTTTAAGATTTTATTTATTAAAACAGATACAGTAATTTAAAACCTAAGCAGGACTTTTGAGGGCAGTGCTCTCCACATAACTATTCTTAGAAACCAAAATTAAGAAATAAAATTTTAACATTTTCACGGGATTCATAAAGTGGGGCTCTTAAACTCGAACTTTTTACTTCAAAAAACCCTGTGCCTGATATATCATTCGATGATAAGATTTAAAAATAAATTAAAATTAATTATAATAGAAAAAAAAACATCCAGAATCATCACAATACTGCATGAAGTCCCAATGCATTTACAATCGGTGAAAACATCTTTTCAGAGGGTACAATAAATTTATCAATCATAATTTTTTTCGTTTGTAATTTTATTCACTCTTTTTGAGAAATATTAGTCCACTTGGGTGGTTTATTTTCATGTTTAAATAAGGTGTCTTTGTAGTAGTCTTCGCATATGTTATTGATTGATGGCTGCAATGAATCAGTATAGTAATTTTAATATATTTTTCATTCAAGTATTACTTTAAAGGGTACTTTTAAACACATATTAGCACAAAATTAACATTACGAATATTACTATGTTAGTTACCTGATTTTCATTAAAGTAAAGCATTGCTTTGTTAAAAGTAGTCTAGCATTTTTTAGCTTTGAGTAAAAATTTATCATTTTTTTCTACACTCACAATATAAGCACCTCAAAATTTACTATCTGTTTCTTTATATTGGGCACAGATATAGTAACACATAGTTACTAAGAATTTTTCTTGTTTGAAATATTAAGAGAAAAAAATATTTTATGAAAATACAAATTTAATTATCTCTAAACCACAAAAATAGGAGTCTACAAGGACTTCATTTGTAAAACATTACAAGATTTATGGCAATTTATTGAGGCTACTTACCATAGATTGCACCAATTATTTTAATTGCACTATTCTGTTGTCTGTAAAGTTGAGACTAATGGATTGTTTTGATGAGTTACTTGATGAGCCACAAGGGATGATGAGGACGTGAAGCCAGCATCACATATTTCACACACAAAAGGTCGAGGCTGAGCATGTGACAACAAGTGCTATTTAAAAAAAAAAAATAATAATAATAATTAAATTTACATAAATATACAAAAATTATTTCACAGAAAAGAGTTCACATTCACATACAGTCTATGATCTTTAGAACAACCTCCAATTACAACAACCCTTCCATTATAATGACACATACACAAAAGTCAGTTTCTTATTCAATAAGCGCAATATGTCCATTACAACAACTGAACCAAATGATTTATTCCAATAGCACAGTTAGAACATTTTTCTGGATGGGGATTTACAATTGATAGTTAATACAGGATAATTTCAATTATTTATTTGTCAAATGCCAGTTACATTAGCCGTTAGGCCATTAAACTTCTTGCTTGTCAATAGCGATAATTTCAATTAAAACTACTTTTAATTTTATATTTACAATTTCCCTAAAAAAGATTACTAAGTATCACTTTTAACTAATCTTAATGTATTTAGTATTTTTTTTTTCCAATTAAAATTTGAATTCTTATCTTACTTTTGAATTGCTCACAAATGACTAAACTGTTTTAATTTTTGGATTATTATTTTTTCTTTTTTTTTTATCAGCTTCATTCTCTTCTATTTTTCTTACCAAAGAGCTATGTATTTTAGGATAATTGGAAAAATTGCACTCTTTTTAAGTCATTGTCAATCAGTTCCTAATTGGAGATACTGTAGCCTCTTGATACACAAAGATTGAAGCAATAAACAATAGAAATATTTGCGCTTTTTTTTATAAATATAATACAGGGTGTCCCAAAAGGTCGTTTACAAACTTAACATGCTGGTCTGTCATATCATGATGAACAAGATTTACATAGGAACTTGTGTCCGAAAATTAAAACTGCGACCGCTAGAGGGCGATAATTGCACGAAAACGGGAGAGTGGGGGAAACAATCATTTCAGGCGTGGACGTTGAAGGAGAAGGATGAATGAGTTTAGTAACGCAGAAATGGTCGACATGCATTACGTATACGGCGCCGATGATGGAAATGGACGAGCCGTGGCACGGACGTACCTTGAGCCCTTACCAAACAGATGTCAGCCAAGTCATGTTTTGTTTGGACAATTGCACCGCAGATTATGTGAATCAGGTGCTTTCGTAGCCACATCGGTCGAGAACTTCCTACATGAACACCTGTCGTAGAGGAAACCTTGCTACAGGAGTATGCCATCAACCCGCAAAGAAGTCTCCGAGAAGGCGAACGTGTCTTGGGTGTAGCTCGCTCCACCATAATGAGCATACTGCAGGATGACATACAACACCCTTACTGCTTCCAAAAAGTACAGGCATTGTGCGCTGACGATTATCCTAAACGCATTGCATTCTCACCTACCGGATTTTTTTAGAAAGAGTTTTGCCGGATCTGATGGGTGACGTTCCAGCCGCTACACGCCGAAACCTCTGGCTTCAGCATGATGGAGCGCCTCGCCCAGTGGCGTAGCGAGCTTAACTCGCGCCCGGGGCACAATACCCTTTTAGCGCCCGCCCCCCCCCCCATTCGAAAACCATATAATATTATATGTAAAATATACTCGCAAATAAATAAAGTCACAGACTTAAGCTAGGCTTTAAATTTGAGACAAAAAATGTAGTTGAGAGAACAAGACTAGATTTTGAAATGTATATGATCATCTAGAATTAGTTCAAAAGATACCTATTATTTATTTTACATATTTATAAAGAAATATTTTAAAAACATGCAGTTTTAAAACAATAATAAAGTAAATATTTATTATCTCTAAGGAGATACATATATTTAATAATCATATGATTATAATACATTAATAAAACTAATTACTATGTCTAAATTTTCGGTGCTTTTGATGAAGCAAATGTATCAATAATATCATCAAAATTGATCATTTAAAATTTTTCTCTTTCCACACTTAAAAATGCTAGGTCACTTAGGCGATCTGTCAAAATTAATTTTAATTTGCTGAATGAACGTTCGCAGCTAGCAATTGATACTGAGATAGTCAGGAGTATTTGAAGAGCCGCTCTCAGATTTGGAAAAACATCTTCTCCATTCGAGATTGATTATAAAAGTAAGAAATTCTAATGGAATTTTAGATTCAATTTCTTTTCTACTGCGGAGTAACATTTTGCTGTCACATATTTTGATAAAAAGTTCTATTACATTGAAATCTGTATTATAAAATTCACCCAGATTTTTAAAAAATTTTTTCAAGGTCTTTATTAACATTATCCTTTTTTAAAAAATTTTCAACGTCTAGTAGAAATCCAAATTTGAAATTAAGGTCACTTAATCGTGTACACATTTCCTGTTAGAGACGATCAAGAGTGCTTTTCATAACGCGAGAAATTTCACTTTCTGCGGAAAGACCACCATAGCTAATTCTCCAGGCACGTATTGTTGTATCCATATCCCATTTTTTTACAAAGAGACTCTGCTTTTTCTATTGCCTCTTTACAGAGCTTGTCTCAAATTTCGGCTAGTTCAGTCGCTAATGATTCAAGATCATGGAACACTTCTCTAAAATTCATTCGAGGATCTTGTAATCTGAGCTGCACACGATCAATCCTTCTTAAGATTTCATACCAGAAATGAACTGAAGTTATAAAACTGAAGGTTAGTATATTTTGCAACAGAATTGTAGCTGCACTTCTGTTGTCACCTGTAGTGGTAGTGTGTTCTGTTAATTTTTCTAATAGTTCTTTTATATTCTCTAGCCCATAGATGATAACGCTAACCACTTGCATTCTGGCGCTCCATCGCGTTTCAGATGTGTGACCTGCCATCACGGCAGCATTATCGTAACATTGTGATCTGCAGTTTGTTAATGAAATTTCATCGTAATTTAATTTCTCTAAAATTGTATTTTCGATCGAGGCTGCATCTTTAGCATGTATTTCAATAAAACTCAAAAAAGATTCTTTGATGGAAACTTTTTTATTGATAAAATCAGCATCTACATACCTAGCGACTTGGGACATTTGTTCTCGATGAGAGATATCAGGAGTTGAATCAAACAAAAGTCCATAATATTTATTTCTTTTGATATCGTTTATTAGTTGATTTCGAACTGTAGATGCCAGAAGATGAATGAATTCATTTTGAATCTGTGGTGACAAATATGAGAACAACAAATTTTTCTGTTAACAAATTTTTTCATACTCTATTCACTTAATAATAGAATCGTCGAGTAGATGTAGTAAGTAATCTTATTTGATTTATTACTTACCAAGAATGCCTTGAACTTGAAAGGTAGTAACATAGTGAAATATACAATATAATTTATGCTGACATTAAACTTATATATAACATTTAATATTTAATAACATTTCAGTTTTATTCTAAGCAGAGCGCGATGACAAGGACGCAAAACTGAAAAATACACGCCCAAAATAACTTAAAAGTTACTATTTCGGGTATTTCCCTAATTTGTTGCGGGCTTCCACAACCTGTCGCAAATGTCACGGATATGTACAGTCGCGGAAAAAAGTATCCGGAAAGTAACAAATAATCTTTTTTTTAAAAAACAGATAGTTCTCAGGCACACAACAAATACGGCGTTGTTTGTGTCCTTTCCTAGAAACGACAAAACGCTGTATTTCTTGTGTGTCTGAGAACTATCTATATTAAAAAATAGACGATCCTTTAGTTGTTATTTTCCGGACATTTTTTTCCCATGAGTGTACATATAAGTACATTAGAGTGTTATTGTTATCGTTTTAAAATAACATGCGTAAGCTACATTGCGTTTATACAAATAGAAATAAATAGTGTTCTGAAAGAATGTTTGTACTTTGTGCACTGCAAATATTTATTATAACATATTATGAGATAATTTATGTAACCACACAGCGTAGATGCCATAGGAAAGTGCTAACAGACACAGGTCTGCCAGTAGAAAAGAAGCGCCATTTCTATTATGAATATATTATTACAGTTTGATTTAGACTATTAAAGTGACATTATGAATTAAATATTAAATATTATGAATAATATTTATGAATTAGCATTTATTATATTACACTGGCACTAAATTTAAAATATATTTTCCGGATATCAATTATAATTAAAAAAAATTACTCAGCAATTTTTTGTTTTGCGGACCATTTGGCGCCCCTTTGTGAGTAGCGCCCGGGGCATGATGCCCCCCCTTGCCCACCCCTCGCTACNACGTTTCAGCGTAAACGTTTGGGCTGGTATTATCGGTGACATGTTGATTGGCCCTTACCTTCTACCTGAACGCCTCGACGGAAATACCTATTGCATTTTTTTAGAAAGAGTTTTGCCGGATCTGATGGGTGACATTCCAGCCGCTACACACCGAAACCTCTGGTTTCAGCATGATGGAGCGCCTCGCCTGCCCACTTTAGCTACGCTCTTCGAGAATACCTTGATAGGATTTATCCTAATCGCTGGATCGGTAGAGGCGGACCAGTCCCATGGCCGCTGCGATCCCCCCGACCTGACTCCCCTGGATTTCTACCTGTGCGGACACATGAAGTCCATAGTGTACGAGACACCTGTAACATCAGACATGGATCTTATCGCCAGGATCCAAAAGCGGCAGCACATGTCCGTGACACTCCTGGCCAATTTGAACGGGTTCGTGAATCCATGCGCCGTCGCTGTGAAACGTGCATTGTGGCGAATGGAAGGAATTTTGAGCATTTGCTGTGATGTAATGATGTTTTATAATAAAAATCATATTAACACCGCTATCGATATCATTTTTTTTCTCCTCATCCAAACCTGCACTTATCTCCCTCTAGCGGTCTCAGTTTTAATTTTCGGACACAAATTCCTATGTAAATCTTGTTCATCATGATATGACAGACCAGCATGTTCAGTTTGTAAACGATCTTTTGGGACACCCTGTATATACTGAAAAGACTGACGAAGAAAACTTTTGCATTTACTTGTTATTCTGTTTGTTTTTCATTGATATTATTTTATCACATTTCTTATAAACATGAGGATAGCTTCTTATAAATCAAAATCTCTTCCTGATCGATTGGCAGATGATTTAACTCTTGAAGATGAGGATGATTTGTGGAGAGGTTATAATTCCCCAAAATCACATCTCGGCTATGTTACTAGTTCATTTTAACAAAGCAAAGAATAAAATATGGGGATTATTTTTGGGCTTGATTACAGACCTAACTGTATAAGGATTTATTCAATTTCTTTTACCATTGATAAAAATTCAACTAAAATTTAAACATAATTTTTTTATGTAATTTTTATGAACTATTTATTTGCAAATTTTTATATAGAGGAGTGTCGGGTACCCCCGCCCACTGTCAATTTCATATTTAAAGAACATTTTCTCAAGTCAATGGGCCATTCAACATTAATTGTTACATTAAAAAAAGATTATTTTCAAAGTTTCAAGCATTTATGCAACTGGTAACATGGTAAACAATAGTTTTGAAAATATGTTGAATACAGTAGTCATGAAATTAAGAAAATCGGTTGAATTTTGTGATAAAAATTATAAATGAAGTTTATCTATTATCAATACATTGGTCATTTTCATTTACACCTGAAAAAACAGTCAAAAAACATAATTTTTGTAACTGGGCGGGACTACCCGACACATTTTGAAAAGAGCTGAAAAACATGTTTTTTTAATTTTCTATTTTTTAAAGTTAAACTATACATTTTTTGGTTTATTCTTTTTGCATTATTTAATTAGATGATAAAACAATAGAAACATACAAAAATATTGATTATTACTCAATATTATACAGAAATATAAGCAATACTCCTTAATTGGGCCGGGCTACCCGACTCTCCCCTATATATGATATATTAAGATGAATTCTTAAGATAACAACCTACTTTCTGACTGCGCTGAGGTTGCATACAAATTCGGAGTTTTAAAGATTTGCCTGCAGATTCACTGAGGGGGGGAGGGGTCCATGGTGAAGTAGGCTGGATGCCTTATGTGCAAATTGGCATGAAGAGTATAAGTAAGTAAGCAAGCTGCAGATTAACTGAGTAAATTCTGAAGCTATTAGTGCTTGTGGAATTATAGTATTGGTTTTAGACAACTTAGTATATGAAACCAACCTTTCACCCCTTCAGTGAGTCAATAAAATAAGTACCAAGTGAGCTTCTGGGCCAAACATGTGCCATTCCAGATTGGCTCAGCGGACCACCCAACCGGAACATCTGCTCCAGCAGTCCAAAGCCCAAGGAAACTGGGCTGAGCACAGTAGGCAGTCACACCACATGAGCTGTCACCCCACTAGGTTTAGTTTAAGTATAAAAAACAATGAATTACTGTAGCACAAATAAACAGTAAAATATCAATATTCATAACTTACTTGTTGTAAAACTTTTTGATTAGGAAACTGTTTTCCACACAGATCACAAACTAGTTCTCCCGATTCAGTAAAACAAGGAGAAACATTGACCGATGGTGTCTCATTTGCAGAAGAAGGAGTCAAAGTTGGATGATCACAATAAAGATGAACTTGTAAAAATTTTGCACTTTTGAAATGTCGACCACAAATATGGCAGGTACCAGACCGATTTAATGACATAGCAGATTCTAATGCAGATGCTTCAATATGTGGAGCAGGTTCTTGTCCAGGTGATGTTACAGTTTGTGGAGCAATATAGCGTGGCAAAGAGGAAATGGCACTGTCAGAATCAACATTCGCTGATTGCAAATGCAGAACATTTGTTTGTGATGTCTCTTGCTTAACATCATCTTTGCTTGAAGGTTGTTTTGCATTAGACAAAGTAGACACAGGCATGCTAACTATTCTTGATGAATCAAATGATGTTTCTGCTAAGGGTAGCATGGAATCAATCAGAGATTGAGTATTTGTAGTTGAAAAAGTTGGCATTACACAAGTTGAATCAGTTGTTTGCTCGGTACCTTGCCAACGCATTCTGCGAGGATCACGCTGATATAGCTTTTGTGCCATTACTTGAAGACTTTCTAAAGAATTATTGCAATCGGTAGTGTCTATTTCATTTAAACTAACACCTGATCGTTCCATTTCAGCGTACATTCCGAATGGTAACTTTCCTAAACATTCCAGCTTCATTATGTGCATTTTTGAACGCAAATGTTTTGCTAAATGACCATGGATCCTAAATGCTATTTTACAATCAGCACATTTGAATGGTCTTGGATTGTCAACAGAAGGAGTTCCAAATGTTAAGTTCATGTTAACTTTATTGTAATGACTTACTGAGCGTTTATGTTTCTGCAAATGTCCCTTTGTACGAAATGAAACAGCACAGTTATCACAACGAAAAGGTCTCTCAAAATAATGTATGTTGACATGCAGTCGGAGGTGGCTAGATTTAGCAAACATTTTGTTACAAATTCGGCATACACATTTTCCTTCTTCTATGTTACCAGAGGAAGAGGTACTGGGAACAATGAACTCAGCTTGGTGCCGTGATGATGATGCAGATTCTTCAGAGTTGCCTAAAGATTGCCCACCCTCTTGAGAATAGTAATAAGCACTATCCTCTAATGTTGGTGGAGATACAGGTGAACAGACAGCAGCATATTCTGCCATATCAGGACTAGACGCATCATCTATGATGTCTGTATCTTTACGTTTTGTCACATTTTCAAGAGAAGGCACATCCTGCATGTAAAATATAGATCTCGTAGAAGTTCCTAAGGATGACTGATCATCAATTAGAGGAAGCAAAGACTGGTCTGTGTTATTGTTATCACTAGTTTCATAATCAACAAGAACCTGAGGAGATAGAACTGGTAGAGGTTTCAGTTGATAAGACTCACTTAGACAAGAGTCCAGGCTGGTAGTAAGGCTCATATCTGTAAGAGCCTCTTCCTGAGTTACTATGTTAATTAAAGACCCAGCCATATCAGCTGAATAGGCAGATTTACATTTACCAAGATCTCGAGTAATACTAAGATCCATTGGTTGATCAGCAGATTCAGGATCTCTTAATTTACGTGGACCCAAAGAAGCTATATTTAAACTGGCCCATTCTTGAGAATTTAAGGTACGAGGCTTTCTTGCTTCCCTTGCAACTGATATGGAATAGCGTCTTGCATACTGATCCTTGCTACCGAATTCTGATGATTCATCAACTTGAAGTTTTGTACCAGTTTCAGCAATGATATCTTTAACTAATTTGTACTTGACATGTTTTGCACCACTAAGAGGAATATCAGCAGAGTATGAACGTGGTCTATGTCCAAGTGTTTCAGTAGAAAGCCACTGATCAGAAACTGCCTTAGATTTTGCTGATGATACTGCAGTTGAAGATAAACCATGAGAAACAAATGAAGGTGATAAGAGTGATTGGTCATGACCTTGTAGTAATGATCCAACATCACTTTCACATGGAGATGTCACATCAGTTAAATCACCTATTTAAAAGAAAAATTATTAATAAAATTCCTTTTGTAACGAAACCAAACTTAAAGTAAAGAGTAATATCCAAAACATAGGATGGAGTAAAAATTTGTTATCCCTGGGTCAGGATGTGTCCCTTCCTAATTATAGCTCATTTAATGTTAAGATAATGTTTAATGCTATTGGTGGCTAAATGGTTAAGGCAACCAACTCATAGCTGGGAGCTCATTTTTAATTTAATGTCTCAATGCTGAGAAATCTGTTATTTTTTTAAATTAAAACATGGATCTTAAAAACTATTCATTTAATTAAGTAACTACAGTAGGGAACCGATTATCCGGAACGATCGGGACCATCGCTATTCCGGATAACTGATTTTTCCGGTTTTCTGAATCGCTACAAAAAGCCGTTTTTTTTATTGTTAAACCCAACGAAAAAAAATTTTTTTGGGAAATAATCTTAAAAAGAAAAAACGATGAAGTAATACACTAATGATTATTTCCAAAATGATGGTAAGGTAAACATCTTTCAAAAAAGAAAGAAAAATCCTAAAATCTTATGAGGGAAAAAAAAAATTTTTTTTTTTAAATGGCGAGAAAATTTATCGAATTTTGTTCCGGTTTTTTGGTTTTCCGGTTTTCTGATTTCCGGATTACGGGTTCTGTACTGTATTTAAATATTTATTAATTAATTTTAAATGGTGTTAGTTTCTTTTTATTAGATTAACAGGAGTTTTTTTTTAAAGTAATGAATGTTAAAAAATTAAATTGCTTTTAAAGTCAAAATTCTTACTGAAATAAAATAAAAACTTTATTAAAAAAACTAAAAAGGCTTTTCATATTTTTTCTAATTTCACTTTAATAAAAACTTCCACTTTAATTATTTATTCTCTTGAATAAAAATAAAGTTTTTTGTCAATTTTCATTATACTACAAAAGAAAAACAAGCATTTTTACGGAGGAAAACTTACTGATTTTTAAAGAAAAATATTTTTCAGGCATAAGAAAAATTTAATTTGCTAAATAATTTGTAAAAAAATAATCGTGCCAATCAATTTAAAACATTTAAGATTTCACACTACAATATACAGTATACTCTCAATATCTGAAAGGACACTAAAAAAATTTGAGATAGCGAGTTTTCAAGATAACAAGTTCAAAACTAAGTATGTTCCAAAAAGTAGAAAAATATATTCTAAGATAGTGCTCTAAAAAGTGAGAGTCCTAAAACATAAAACTAACTACTAATAAATATGTATGTAATGATAATTGACTATAAGTCTAAATACAGTAATGATAATTTTATTTTTAAAAGTAAGACAAAAATAATTATGCATTAAATAGAAAATAATTGGTTTACAATAAACTTACATTGTGAGTTTTCTATTTCATAAAATATTTGATATAACAAGATTTTGAGAAGAAACTCTTCGACATAGGAATTTAAATTAATATTAGGTGGATATGTAATGCCGAGGGGGAACATATTTTTTTTGACATAACAAGGTTCTCAAGGTATCAAGAGTATACTGTATATATATTTAAAGTAAATAAAAAATAACACATTTTTCAGCAATAAGAAATGAAAATTTAAAAATGACATCAGCAGGGATAGAATCACGATTCCTCAGCTATGAGTCGGATGCTTTAATTGACCACCTATACAATTTCTACTTGTTATTTTTTAATCTACTTGTATTTTTTAATCTACTAGTTATTTTAAATAAGCTAAACCTTTGAAGGGTCATATCTTGAACCAGGTGCCTCAGTGGCGTCAAATTTTCATCCCATCCTATGTTTTGGATCATGATATTTAATTCAAGCTTGATTTTATTTCAATAGAAATTTTACAGATGCATACTTCCCTCGTAAGTATACATATTTTTATTTAAATAATTTTTCATTTAAAACTGTATTTGTAAGAGAGTATGCATTAAGCTTTGAATAGTTTATAATTTCATTGTACAAAAAAGAAACTGTGTTATTAATTATGGCATGGATAGTATAGATATTTATTGTTAGAACTTAAAACCTTTTTTCAACCATTGCATTGTAAAGTAAAATTTAAAGTGAATATGAGCTATTTAAGCAATTTTTACACACAATAAATATATTTATAATACTAGAAGAAGTTTTATTTGTATAATTTTTACTTGCATTACTAGCGTGTTTCTCATTTAATTTATTAATTAGTATTTTGTGTTTTATTTATGTTGATAACTTGGTGTTTATTCAACCAAATCACTGAAGTCAATCGAGCCATTTTATCTTGTATATCGAACAAGTTAGCATTTGTATATAAATATTTGAAAAAAATATTTTTATAAATTGAATATTTAGTTTAAATGTTTTTCCGTCATTAGTTTGCAGTCAAAAGGTTTAACTAGCCATAGCATTAGTGATATTTGGTGTAAGTATTTTGAAAAAAAAAAAAAAAAAAAAAAAAAAAAAAAAAAANAATTTGAAAAAAAAAAAAAAAAAAAAAGGAAATTCAAAAAATATATCAACTAGCCCATGTTAAGAAGGCAAGATTTCTATTGGCATATTGGTAACCAAAAGTAAGAGTTTATTAACTTGCATTTCAATATCAGTTCCAATAAAAAAATAATATCTTTTTATTCTCTCTCTCTGGAATTTGTTAAGTATTTTTATACATTTACTGGGATTGTGATAAACATATTTATTTCAGTTTTAGAAACTGGTAAAAAATTTAATGTTTACAAACTATCTGTTAATGAGCCACTCATATGGTATGTTAGTTTAAGCTGTTGTTGAACTTTCTTCTAATATCATTAAAAACTGGCAAGATCTATTAATTTTAGTTCAAATTTACATAGATCTACGGATTTACAGAGAAATCTAAGAATAAATTTCAAAATTCTATTTATTATGAATTTTCTGAGGTGGAGTAAAGTTGGTATATGGTTAGGCTCAGCTAAGTGTTGTATGGTAGAGATATTTTTTACTTCTGTATTAGCTTTAGTAAGTTCCTAATGCTCTATATTTTATAATGAAATAGATTGTTTGATTATAGCCACTGATAGCAAAATTTCCTTTAAGTTTTATTTTTAAAGAGAAGAATTAGAAAACATTTAATGTAACAGACATATTATTCAAATTTACATAGATCTACAGATTTACAGAGAAATCTAAGAATAAATTTCAAAATTCTATTTATTATGAATTTTCTGAGGTGGAGTACAGTTGGTATATGGTTAGGCTCAGCTAAGTGTTGTATGATAGAGATATTTGTTATTTCTGTATTAGCTTTAGTAAGTTCCTAATGCTCTACATTTTATAATGAAATAGATTGTTTGATTATAGCCACTGATAGCAAAATTTCCTTTAAGTTTTATTTTTAAAGAGAAGAATTAGAAAACATTCAATGTAACAGACATATTATACAATTAAAAAGAATTACCAAAATAGCATAATGGTACAACTTAGTGAGCATATTCAAAGATATAGATGAGTTTTCATGCAAGTTTCTGCCTTCATATGGCACTTTTCTCATGGAAAACAAATCAATTTCCTTAAAATATTTAAATTGAAAAAAAAAAATACACAACTGCTATAAATACTAAAAACACTTTAAATTACCATTATAGATATTAATTTTTACACAATTTTTACACTCTCATTTATATTTAAAATAAACCAAAAACTATTACAGTTCTTTTGCTTTATAATGAAATTATGTAAAGTTCAGCAGAATATACTGCACCTGAAGTGAAACCCAATTTTGATAGACATGAACATTAATTCTTTAGTTTAATAATATGCAAAAAAATATTCTGATTTTAATAGATTTTTTAAAAAATATAATCATGATACATTTGCTTAAGTGCATTTTTATTTGGGAAAAAAATATTTAGATATGTTTTTAGTGAAATATATACTGATATTCCCCACTTACCCCAAACCCACTGTACCCCAAAAGTGGTTATATCAAAATATGTCCCTTTGAATGTACTACTGCAAGAAAACAATCAAACAAAATACAAATTATGCTTCATATTTACTCTATATAAATCTAATGTCTATAAAATGCATCAAAATTTTCTGTAAAATAACTTTAATGATTTGGTTTTAGAGCCTTCCTTAAAAAAAAAATATGATTTTATACCCACTTTACCCCACTGACCCATTATTAAGAAAATGCTTTAACCCTTTTACTACAAATTTTTTAAAAAAAAGATTTTTTTTCCCCTTTATTATTCAAAAGGACAAAATGGGTCACAAATAAGGCAAATTTAGTATTTGGGATTTTTCTGACAAGCCGTTATCAATTTCGAGGCTGGGACATATATGTCCCAGCCATACTTAATGGTGGGATACATATGTCCATTAGTAATTTTTAAACATTTGTTGGGACAAATGAGTTCCGTTAGTAGTCAAAGGGTTAAAGAAAAAAGTATATTTATCCTCATTAATACTTGTTTTTTTTTAAAAAAAAAAAACATTTAAAATTAAATGTTGAATTTAGTATTTGTTTATTTACAATTTATTTATTTAAAATGTCAACTCTGCCTACATACAGGATAAGATGGCATAGTATAGTGAGTCCCCCTTAATAATTAGAAATCTCTCAATATTTCAAACGATTAAAAATAAAATTTTGATCAATCACTATCAATTTAAATTCAGCCTCATGATAAAAGAAAAAATGAATTGTTTTGCAGGTATTTAACAAATAGAAAGAAAAAATTTGTATTTTTTAAGTGCCGAATTTTGTTGAGCTATTGTAACTGGATATTTAAATTTCATCCCCCTCAAAACTTGGTTGACTGTGACGGCCATGCATTAAAGTGATTCTTTGATTTAAAAACTGAAAGAAAAAAAAATACCTGTACTAGTAGACCATTGACTGGGCTCTCCAAATGCTGATAAGTTTAATAAACTTCTGGCAACTTCATGTTCTTCAGCCTGCTGAGAAGTAGATTCATGTCCACGTATGCTTTCGTCAAAACTGTCTGTACTTCTTTCTTGAGCATCTGATTTCTTTGAATGGCCGTTTGTCAACATTCTGCTAAAGATAATAGAAAGCAATGATTTTTTTTCAAACATTAACTTATTTTCATCTCAAAATCACATAACATATTCTTAAGAAATATTCAAGAAAAATTACTAGTTAGTTCACAATTGACCAACATAAAATTATCACATAACAGATTCTTAAAATTCACATAACAGAATAACAAAATCACATAACAGAATATTCAAATTCGTATAACAGAATATTCAAAATCACATAACAGATTCTTAAGAAATATTCAAGAAGAAAAATTATCAGTTAGTTCACAATTGATCAACATAAAATTATTACATAAATACAAATGAATAAAGCAATTGTATAAACAACTATGGATAAATAATGCAGATGTAAAATAAAACTTTAAGGAATTACTTAATGTAATTCGTCAGTGCATCTGAAACACATAAGTCGAACTTAAGTATCATTTATAAGGAATGCATTACATCATATAAATAATCTATATACATATAAGCGCTTATATTTATATTAAAAAAAATGCAAAAAATATTGTTCTACTTTAGTTCAGTAAAATATGTTTATTTAAAACTTTTGATCATTGTCACCATTTTTGTTTTTTAATGACATAAATCAAAGCTGATATCTTTCATGCAATAGTAATAGTTCCACACAACTTACTCAATGATAAAAAAAAATGGAAAAAAATATGGACAATAAGAACATGAGAAAATTACACAACTAATTTTGTCCATGTTAATAATAAAGTTTGGGAAATTGAAAGATTAAAAGAAAAAATTCCGTTAACATTAGTTTTCAAAAATAATTTTTTTAGATGAAAACTTTTTAACAGTATTACAGAAATGCTTGGTGAAATTAGTATAGATAATATAATGAGTAGAGTGCATTATACATGGTCCTCGGCATTAAATACTATTAAAAAAATAATCAGAACTAACTTTTAAAGAATAAGTGGTATCTTATAACCATAGAATACTCATTAACCAAGGATCAGATGAAATAACACTAAGTTTTAGAATCGAAATCCAATTATAAACAAATTTTTTGAGAATGAATTTTACCTGGAATTTTGGCTAGTAACAATCAGACTGCTTGCATCACTTTCACATTCATCATCACTTTCATCAGTATCTTCTTCATCATCATCATCTGCCTCTTCACCATCAGAAAACTGATTTTTCTTCTTCTCAATCTGTTCCTTCGAAAAATGTAGTTTCAATCATTATTAAATGTTTTTAAAAATTTACATCAAATATTTCAATTACTATTTAAGATAATATTGAAGTGAATGTATTATTTAAAGAATTTTGACATTAAAGCTTATAAAATTTTTCACATGAATTTAAATAATTTTATCAGTTTTATTTGCAAATGAATAGCACAGCCCATGAGTGATATGACATAAATTTATAGCAACTGGTAAATATTTATAGCAACTGATATGGTAAAAATTTGTTTTGACAAACTTCACAAAATAATATTTGTTTTAATTTCACTAAATTTAGAATTTTTTTAAAAAATAATTATATAATATTAATAATTAAACTTCTAAAGTGGCTTATTTCTTTTCTGAGAAAAACAAAATAAATCCTTAATAGTTAGGCTGTTTATGTTTTATATTTACTCTAAATTAAAACAAGACTAAACTAAATTAATGACTTTTCTATATATCAAAATCAAATTAACTCATATATAGTTTATTATTAAACTTGATTAATCTTCGAAACTTGAAAGAATTTTATTAACACGTTGAATGCCACGCTAACTTTACATGGCTTGCCCATCTGGCCATAATGATTTTCTCAGTATGTATTGCATTAATTTCTTGAAACCATTTAGCGATAATAATATAAAAAAATTTCACTCTTATAATGTGTTTCTAATAATCTTGGCTTCGCCGGTCACCGGTGATCCTCGGCGCTATTAACAAACTCAGTGCCGGTGACCCCCATGGCATACAACGTTTCAACAAATTTCAATGTAATTTTCATAATGCCCAAAATTAAAAACAAATATATTTCTTCCAATTAATACATACAATCTAATTTTGAAATTAGCACATCAATGCAAACATTCTTTTTTCTTTTGTAACTAAAATATTTTGCCATACTATTAAACTATTAGTTAATGCTACATTTATAAAATAACAGGTAAATTTTGTATAATTTACAATAAATATCCTGTAACCATAAAATTTGTTTTGATGTACTTTGATTTCAATTATTTTTTTTTTCTTTTTTAGTGGAGAACAAATAATAATTGTAAATGGCAAATTTTCTAAAATCTTAAACTGATAATATTTTTCCATAAATGAAAGTATAATATTTCAGAAAATTTTTTGGGTGATAAAATATTGTACAGTAATATCTTGCAAATTGTATAACATTTCATTAAATATGTCAGAGAAAAAACTATAAATCCAAGTTAGTTAATACTTTATTTCTAACTTTCTCTCTCAACTTTATTAGAAGGACCTATTTTTCTGAATATGAAAAAAAATCTCATAATTTTGGGGATCTAAAATTAGTGTTAATTTAATTGTCAGCCAGGATCCAGTTTTTTAGATTAAATAAAAACAAGGATCTGTTTTTAAGATTTAAAAATCAATAGAATATGCTTTTATACATTTAAATTAATTCCTTTAACATTATTTACCTATCTCCTCTTCTATTACATACAAAGTGCCAATGAATGGTGTCAATGGCTCAGTGTTTCAGAAAAATTTTGCAAAAAGCCAATTTTTAAAATTTAAAAAAAAAAAAAAAAAATTTCAGATGTGTATTGAGGAAAAATATTTTACAAAGGATCCATTTCAACCACAAAATAGATTGTAAAAAGTTCAGAAGCAAACCCAAATTTGTCCTTGACAGACTTCTGCTTTGACACTATGGAACAATTAATTGCCCTAAACATAATTGAAAGTGATAGCTAAATGGAGCATTTTATGCTATTTAACACCTTAGGAAAATTTTTAAGGAAATATTCCTTCATTTCCTTTTTTCCATAAACTAATAATGAGAAAAACAACTTTTTTGATTAGGAAACAGCTTGGAGTTGACAATTAAAAATTTACCGTATAATACTTTTAAAGAAAAATGAAATACTCAAAATTGAACACACCTGTTTGGCTAAAGCTTCTGCATCAATTTGGGAATCATCGGTAGTAGTTGGAACAGGAATGATACCAAGTTCTGTGCACTTTTTATGATGAGCTTTTGATTTCATATGTTTTGTAAGATTTCCTTTGGTTTTGAAAGCAAATGAGCAATGATTACATTTATAGGGTCGTAGATCAGTGTGTGTACGTATATGCTTTTTCAGCATACTGGGTTTCTTGCAGCGAATGCCACATTCTTCACACACGTATTTCCCCCTCCCTCTTCCTCTGACGTAAGTATAATCCTCGTTAGATTTGAATCCTCCTTCAAAGATTTTTACCCGCTTTGGAGGTTGAGGTTGACTGGAATCAGTTAGTGATTCTGTACCATCATCTTGGCAGTCATCCTCATCTTCATCATTTGAATTATTTACCTAAATATAAAATTGTTTAAAAACATAAATTTTAGTAAATAAAAATGAAATAATAAACACATTAAACTTAATAAAGTATGAAGAAAAAAAAGTAAGAGGAACTAGGTTGATGGGTGCCTTTTAAAATGAGAATTGTACCTTGGAGATTTTACCATAAATAAAATCGCCCATTTTCTTATTATTTCCATCTTGATTTCTTATTATGTATTAGAAAATCTAATTATGAAGTCGTTTACCTGTTTTCTATGAGAACATAAAAAGTAACCAAAATACCATCATCCAATTGTAAATTTTCACAAGAAACTGGACAATTGAAATACTTTAAACATACAATTACATACAGAGAGGGGGGCCAAAAAGGGCAATAACCCGAGGCATTCAGCTAAAAAGGAGCATCTGACAAATTACTAAGGATACTAATATTTTAAATCTACTGTTGTTTTATCAACAAATGAAATTATTTAAAAAATAAATATTTGGATTATTGAAAAATATTTTGGCAAATTATAAAAGGAAATTCAAGTAATTTTAATAATAAAGTTTCAGAGCATCAGAATATTAAAGAGAAAAATCTATAAAATTAGAACGTTCTTTACATTTAAACAAACAAAGAAATTCTGTTGAAAACAATTTTTTTAGTTTTTACAATAGAATAGTCCTACATACATTTACATTAAAAAAAATTGTAGTATGGAGTTAGACTTTTTATAAATATATATCTGATCAAAAAAAAAATCACAAATTATTTCAAAAATGTGTCTTAATTTTTAAATACTCTATATTGATCATTATAAATACTGTCAAGCCAGAAAGTCAAATGCAAAATCTCGGAGAAAAGAAAAGTGCTACTGTGCAAAGCAGAGAAAGAAATTCTCATATCAATCTCTGTAAAATTGACCTGTGAATTGTAAGTGGGGAACTTTGACCTTTTCTTTTTCATTTTTTGTTTTAATGAGTGTTACTAAAAAAATTTTCTCAATGTTTAAAAACAGACTGCAGGGTAAAATATAAATTTTTGACTGTTTTTGTTTATAATGAGTGAAAAAATTTTGTGAACAGCATTCTCATGTTTGACGTTTGAGTATATTATACATATCTGTTACACACTTCTCCCCACTATTGATATGATATAATCACATACCAGGATGTGATTTAATTTTTACTAGAGTAATTTCTATGTTTACATAAAAAGGGAATTTTAAGTATGGATTTAGATTCTCATTAATATATATCTTCAATTGAATATTTTTTCTTTCTTTGCTTTTTTTAATAGTCACGAAAAGTTTGACATTGTAACTACACAACTTTGCAAGCCACTGGCATAGGATAAGACATAATTACATGTCTTAAGGGTTTTTATTTTATTCCATAAATATACAACATATTACAATTTTTATATACAGTGGAGCATCGTTTATACGACGATCACTTATACGACGTTTACATTTATACGACGTTTCAGTGTGGTCCCAAATCATTCCTATTCATTTTAATGTAAAAATATATCGTTTATACGACGCACAGAATCGGTTATACGTCGGCTTTTAGATTTTGTTCACGTTTATTTAATTTTTTATTTTTTCTTGTGTATTTTAAAAAAGGGCGAAATTAGCCAACATAAATGATACAGAAAAGGGTGCCAACGAGAATGCTTGGATAACGACCGTAATTTTTACTAAATGACTGAAAAAACTGGACAATGTTATGAAGAGGCAAAAATGAAAAATTTTGCTATTCTTCGACCATGTCCAGCGCACCCATCGATACTAATTATTTTGGAAAATGTAAAAGCTCTCTTTTTTCCTGCAAATTGTACAAGTGCGCTTTAGCCATTAGATTTGACCGTGATTAGAAATCTAAAATTGCATCATAGAACGCAGTAAGTTCAACTCGCAATTCAAAGCATTGTAGAGACTAATAGCAAGAAAATATAATTCGAGGTAACATACATTCAAATTGCTCACTGCAATCTTTCTTCTTTGGTTATTTGTTTGTTTTGCTTTGTCTAATTTAGAAATTTATGTAAATCAACACGTTAAACATCAAAATTAACTGAAAACAGAGTCAGTTTCT